TAATTTTCATGATCTTTTATGTCTTATGCAGATGGTACTTACTTTGACTTGACGTTTTGCCAGCTTCCAAGGAGGCATAATCGTAAGTTATGATATTGCTGCTGTGGCCTATAGAAATCGCCTCTGGGACGGTAAAATGATGTGGCATTGTTGTTTGATGACAGCGTGGTTTAAATAATCCAAAGTGAAATGTGCGGGGGCCGGTTTGTTTTAGGATATTGTCATATCACAATCATTTGGTAGGGTATTATGCGCCGTATTTTCTATTACTGTTGTTTGGATGCAATATGATGTTTATTGCTTCCTTGATTGTCCTGATGTTGGATTCTGATTCTTTAGATAGAATGATTTTCCAGTTCAGTACATGTTTATGTGTGGTCATGTGGTTTGTTTGGACGATCTGGTCAATACTCCTTCACAATGCTCTGTCACCTCCGTTGTGTAATCAAGGTTTCTCTTTTTCAGTTCGTGATAATTGTATATATATTTATTTGGAAGATACATTGCATAACATTTAGTAGTCTAAAAAGAAATCCCCATGCTTATAATACTATTTACAAGAATATAAGTTACAATGCACACTCCAATTCGAGATCCCTCTACATCCGAGACCCCTCAAATTCCAAACAACTTTCCAAAGACCCAAATAACAATCGAGGTCCCAAAGGTTGTCTCGAATAGGAGGGCGGACTGCATTTTTATCCGAGTTTTTATAAATTTAACGAAAAATAAATTTTAATATGTCAAGTTTATACTACAGTATTACTATTTCTAAATTACTACGGTCTTTAAAAAGGAAACCTATTAAAAAAGCCTCAGTTACCGTTGAACGAAGAAAATAGACTGAGAAATTAATAAAAAGCTAACAGCAGGTTTTTAGTAAAATCATAACTATACAGAAATTACAGGAAAGTAATGATTAATAAGTCTCATGCTTATTATTACCGTATTTAAGGGTAAATATTAAAAAGAAAAAAAATACAAGTCTAGTTAAATAATATACGATATACACATAAGAAAAGAGTATTAGGTTTAATTTATTATTTAAAATTTATATATATACATATATATATATATATATATATCAAATCATAATAATGATAATAATAATAAATAAATGATAACCTTATTTTAAATAGTAACTATAAGTTTGTTTTGATTTCATTGATCACGTGTGTATATATAATAGAAAGTCATGATATTGATTTTAGGGCAGTTTAACTAGTTTAAGTATTTGTATTTTAATTTTTGACGATCCTTCCGAATATTTTATTTAATTTTAATCTATAGTTTTTTTGGGTTTTTTTTCATATTAGAAATTATGAAGAACATTCAAACATCATCAGTGTCACAAAGAGAAACGAAAAAAAAAAAAAAAAAAAAAAAAACTGAATTCGTCACAAAACAAAAAAAAAAAACTGAATTCGTCACCTTCCTCCAAATAATATTTGATCTACAAAGTACACACATTGTTATCCCAGGATATGAGTGCTTTAATCTATGGGTATGGCTTTCCAATACAGATATGTTGTGGTTTTTAAAGTCATTGTGTTGACAATTCTCAATGTTTGCATGTCTTTCACTGCCCTGTTTTCAGTTACTCTTTTCACATGAACGTGATGTCACAAGATATCAAATCTTCAACCTGCAAACGCTCATTCAGAGAAAATGAACACAGACATGAACACTCACATTTATATTGCTATTATAAACTAATAAAGAGTCAGCAGACATAACCTTCCTTGAAACTGGCTTTCCACATCACATAACCACACTCATGAATACGCTTGTCTTTACATTCATCACAAAGAAATGGCTGTACATTTAAAAGGCGAGCTTACTCAACATTTCTCAGTGAAAGAGGAGCTAGGTATTAATTCTCTCACCAGCAGTCTTTAAAATCTACTCAGAATTAAATCATGTGCAACAAAATTAAATATCAAATGTCATTTTTAGTATCAGTGGACACAAGATCTCAAACCCAATAATGGTTGTTGGTGTGTATATTGCTACTAAAATTTAAATATGTTCTCAAAAGACAATGATCTTCTCCATAGCCACTTACGGACCACTAAGACATATGAGGAGAGAACAACTGATACATTTGAGACGTGAGGCATCAGCAACATTTTAAACATTACTTGGATAGACAATAAAATGTGTATCATACTGATGGAAATATCACTTGAAGAAACACCTGGCTTGGGTAAAAACGTCTAGATTAGGTTCCAACTACTTTAGGAATATGGTGGCATCGCTAAACGTGCAAGTACTGTAAATGTAAACGCATCCATCAGCCTCTCCCTCTTTCTTACTGCTCTCTTTACTTCTATTCTTCATTCAATCAACAACCCAATCCATCCTTTTCTTTTCTGTTTCATCATTCCATATACGGGTTTCCCTCTAATTAAAGACCCTCCAAATGAATATTATGTATTATATATTTTTATTTATTTTTTTTTTTTTTTGTCTAATTAAAAACTGAAGCTGCTAAAGACTATGAAAACCCAGGTCCTTGAAGTGATCCTGGAGTGAGACCTGTATCTGTTTTTTTCAAATTCTATGAGTGGTATTCTTTCGTCACAATTCAGCATAAGATCTTTCTCCAAACGCATATCATGATTACAGTCGGCCTCCTAATGCTTTAGCTCCGATGATTAGTTCTAGGAATACAAGGCTGGTTGATTAATAGACTTTTTTTTTCTTTTTGCTGAAAGCTTAATATACTCTATTGCCTCTATTATACTGCCCTCATTGGAGCTTTCAAGATTACGAGACCTTGTTTGTATGGGCGACAGTTAGGGCAAATTATGTTTATTATTAGCTCCGATGAGAAGCTTTAGGAACACTCGGCTGAACCTCACTTCTTATTGTTGTTATTCATAAACTAGAGGTGATCTCCAACAAACGTTCATGGTCCCATTTTTAAGTTGGACCCCAGGGTGCCCCATATACCTACACAACAAAACAGGGGTATCAGCAAAGGACTGGACATTACTGCCATTACCACAAATAGCACACGTGGCATTGATAGCGCGGTTGGTAACAAATTGTTTTTTTTTTTTTCTTCTAAACGGGGGAGGGGGATCTCTCCCTGAAGAAGCCCCGGTTCCCACTGGCGCCACGCCACCCCTGGTCTTGCACAAGAGATTGAGAATACTTTACATAGAACATGTATCTAAGATGACAATCAAAATAAAACTTGCTTTCAACCTTATTAGAATCAGTACAGTACGGTAAATGCTCGAATAAGTGCCACTCTCGAATAAACGCCGCACCAAACGCGATTCTTTTTGCTAAGCATCGCTTCCGAAAAAGCGCCGGTCTTCAATAAGCGAATCGAGAGTATATATTACCGTGTGTAATGAAACATTTTGGGAAACAAGTTTTAAATACATAGTATACAGTGTTAAAATGAAAAAAAAAACAACAATGAAGACAAGCATTTCTTTCTTAACGTTTATTTACAATGACGTAGGAGGGTCATTCCATGTCAAATCACCCAATGGATTTAACCACATATTTTTTGATTTTGATGAAACTTGGTGTACTTGTTTAGTGTGATCAATTTTCAGATTTTTTGGGTGATTTGACATGGAATGACCCAGGACCTATGAGAGGCCTACCTAACTACGGGAATACGTGGAATAGGTAACATAGGCAGCGCTTATTCAAGCATTTACGTTATTGAAGAATTTCCATTTTCAAAATTGTAAATGTTACATTAATACATAAAAATTCTCACTTAATTTAATTTGTTTATTCATCGTATAAGTACACAACATTATAATTGTCTTACTAGGTTATGATAAAAATAAATACATAAGAGTGATATTCCGTATTGCTTATTGTAACTTAATTTCTGTAACAAGTTACAAGGAGGACGGATAGCAAATATATACATAAACATGAAACATGCTCTTTATCACTGGTAAGTTAGTTGATTTTAGCGTATGTAAGTGTAGTGTCCTGGGTACGACGTTATAATCTGCACCCGGTCGAGTCGTCGGCAACTAATTCCGGCAAACCCATCTGGTGGTCTTTAGCTGCCGCCGATGGGAGAGTGGATGGACACCACGCAGCATGAAAAAAATAGCTGAACAAAGGGGCAGATAAACTCCTCGGAGCCAACGGCCAACCATGCCTTAGTTTCAGGAGTAGATTTTTTAGTTTTATAAAATAACAAACTTTTTTCAAAATATCAAACTCAAAGAGCTCTATCACCAAAGCACATAGAGGCTTTTTTCGCATGATGGGCTATACAAATTAAACTATTTACTATTATTAATAAGAATATACAGTACTTCATACAAAACAAGTAAAATATATATATATATATATACATTTATACATAATTATACTTTTAACTGTTATAAACTAATATACATTTATAGATTAATTATACAACAAATTCATTCACTGGCATAATGCTGTAGCTTGTATATATATATATATAAATCAAGATAGCAAAGAAAGGTAAAAAACTTTTAGAATTCCTTCAATATCATATATTATATATATATATATATATATATTATACAAATATATATTACAAATCTAACATTGTAAATTAATCAAACATAGTACTGTTAAACAAATAGAGTAAAAAAATATAAAATTAATAAATAAATAACAAAAAAAAATAAGTAAAAAAAAAAAAGAAGCCTTCAAAAACAGGCAGACCTGGGAAGGGAAAAACCAAGCTGCAGCACGAAAAAGCGCACTCCTGTTGTTGATATGGCGACACCACCACTACCGCGTACACGCAGGTACTAGAGCCCACCTTGGATAAGCCTCGGCTCTACTACCGTGCACTGCTAAGGTGGCAACGCCGGCTCAAGTAAGGGGGTTAAATTATAACAATGTTATAATTATGTTATTAACTCTTAAATAAATACTTTTTTATATTTCAGGTGAATATGATGATGAGGACGAGGAGGACGATGACAACAATTTAACAATGTTAAACTTCTAGCAGCAACAAAAATGAAATTGGATCAAATGAATTAAACGTTAGATCAGAAATAAGTGAATAGTTTCTGCAGTTAACTAGTATAAATGTCTCCTCATTGATGTGCAAAAATATTTGTACTTTAATACCACACTTTCAAAATAGCAAATCAGTACTCAAGATACAGCCTTGACGGCACCGAGATAACCAACACAAGCAACATGAGCAGTATCCACATTTTGAGCCATCTATTTTCCATAGAGCGGCCCATGTTAGCTTGTACCCTAACATTCATATACTGCAAAATACAGGAACCTGAAATGAACATACATCCACCATTCAGATGATTCATACATGGTGATGCTAGAACTAGAAAGAGATTCCTTTGAGGTATAGCTTGCTTCATCCTACCTCTCAGGAAAACACTTTTTTTTATAAACTCCCAGTTCAAAATACATACAGGACAAGGAAAAGTTTTTGACGGTCTGATCTCTGTATATTATTGTTTAACATATGTTTAGATTTGCTCATAAATTTCTTACTGTTTATTTAAAAAAAGGGCCTCCCTGCATGCCATGGTGCAAAAATAAATGCAGAGAAAAAATAAACAAAGATCAAAGGGAAGCAATTAACAAAGAATATTTGATGTTGTTTAAAAAGCAACAAAGAATATGGCTCCTAGGTATACCAAGTCATCTGTTGCAAAGTGCACCAACCCAAATGCTTCCAACCCACTAAAACATACGTACACATATTCGCTGATGCCATCGGGCATCCAGTCAACTGAGCCTCCTATCTAAGTAGTTCTGAAAAGAACTGTTTTGCTGAGAATGTCTCAACGCAAAATATAATAATAATAATAATATGAACTTAGATTAGGTGATCTCTCTTTGCTTTACACAAATAGTTGTGTAAAAACCTATAACTGTAGTCACTCATCATTTTTTTTTTTCGACAAATTGTATCCAACTGAGCTGAAAATT